TATTTTCTGCATATTGCACCTCAAATCACCTGGCCGACACCCAAACGATGAGGGATGGCGCAGTGCCTTTCAACCACAGCACCACTTCCGTCCACTAAAGCGCATTTACTCTATAACACTCATGTAAATTTTGGGCAGTGGCTCCCGAAGAATGTAATGATTCACCGAAATATTCATTTCCTTTGAGCATTCTCTGCAATGCCTGGCCCAGCTCTGAGGCTTGTGGAACGTAATACCCCCGATTGCCGTGCGGTTCGTCAATCACTTGACAAACCTGCGGACGGGCTCTGAGCAGCACTGAAAAGGTTGCCGATGAAATTCCAATGAATCACATAAACCTCTGGAGAAAACAGCATACGACACCTTTGTTTGTTCCTTGATCGATCACTACAAGATTAAAAGTGCATGAGGATTCAGCTGGAAGCCGAGTATTGAATGCCCGAATTGTCGGCTCGACGGATAACTGAAATTAACAGAATCACAACAAATTGAGGCTCCTACAGAATGCTCGTACACTTGGGAGACGGGCAAGAGAATCGCAACTTGCAGCTCCACCGCGCGCGGCGATGGGCGCGGCGTTTTCTTCAACTCGTGTTAACCTGTCGATTGGAGCACCGGACTTCATGTAGACCCCGTCATCGTGGACATTCATGACTATTTTCGGTTCTGAATTGCCTGTTGTCGCCATCTACTACCTGGAACCATCGTCATTTGCGGGCGCGACGTCGCACGCGACGCTCACCAGCGCGGAGAATTACGATTCTCTTGTCACATACCCGTACGCTTCATCCTTCACCGTAAAGGATGAGGAAGAATGAATAAAACCGATAGTAAGGCACGTTAGTGAGAACATGATAGGTACTTCAACCATTCGCACCCTGTCACCGAGACTGAAGTGTTAGTGAGGCGTTGCCACAGAACTGTGGGCCTGATGGGTGTCGGTCAGGAAATCCATGTTGCAGCAACGTAGGCTCATAACCATCGCGTGCATCACGTGCGGGGCATCCGCTACAGATTTTTGTTCTACGGCGAGTCTTGTGTCTCGGGAGGGACAACTCTCAGCAAGGCCTGAATACGTCGATTCCGACGTGAGAATGCCACGTTGCCAAGAGGAGCGTTCAGTGAGTGGCCATTTTTGGCGCGGCCGACACTTCAGTCTCTGGCAGGGTGCAAACGAGCAGACATGACGAATAATAAGTGGGCTCGGCCAAGCTGGAGAGTGGTCCCTTCTAGCGCCCATAGTGCCTCGTCGACTAAGCTTAGAACTACTTAACCGCTCAATGACATACGACAACGCTAGACGTCCTGCCCGCCACTACAACTGGACGCTATGACAGACCATCATGCACGGTGATGCACACATTACAGGCTGTTGGGCAAGATATGGCGTGCTTCTCTCACTGCAAAAGGGTTAAAAACGAATGGCGTGGCTATAGCACGCGTCGCAAGCAATGGCAAGCTGGCCCCAGGCAAGCGCACGGCTTTAGGATGATGTTTGTTAACGATAACAGCTTCATGATAAACTATCCATTTACTTTTCTTGACCGATCAACCTTCGCTACTACCAATCATTTGTTGAGGTTTGCGATGGCTTATCGGTGTTGTAAGCCGTGCTGGTACTGAGAGCAGCATCATTGTGGAGGCATTCAATAAAGAAGCGCAGAAAAGCGTCCAGAAGTTTCCGACTTAAATCGACAGAACCGCACCAGCATCTGATCTGGACGGTGGAACACTCACGGTCACTTATACGTCGAAAAGGCAAATTGATTGCGCTCTTAAGACCGAAAGAAGCACCAGGCCTTCGTTAGGCAGCAATAACCGTTCCCTCCGCATCATATGCCTTCGAGAAATTCGCTCACCCTACACGGACTCCGAAGATCGGAACCGAGCGAGCTGTTTTACTAGCATATCCTACCGAAACAAATAATAATAGCGTCTCACTTCAACACCTCGATTTTCGATGTTCCGGAAACCAAAAGTGTCTCCACGATCTATTCGAATACACCTGAACCTACAAAACTATGCAATAACCGCTCCTTCAAAACATCGTCAACGAACCATTCGTAAATTCGTGGTCCGTAGATGGTTGCAAAATTGTCCGCATCTCTCATCGAAAACGTCGACTGTACTTCAAAACGCCAAAAATGAACGAACTGTAGTCTCTCGGAAAAGGCCATCTGCACCGACCAGCGAGTAGATCGAAATTGAACATACGTTCAACTGCAGTTTTTACTGAAGATATCAGAATGATTGCCGTAACCATTTTTTTACGACTCATTCAGTGGATAGACTCTGCTGCAGAGCGGTCGACATTTTCGTTGACAGTGTAGAAAATCATTTCATTTGAGTGCCTTCCTTATCCCTTCGCCAGTAATGAATAAGGACAAGAGAGGTGGAGTGAAAGAACGGCGGCGCTGTTTATCGACCGGGGGGCATTTTGTATTATCACTTCCCTTGTTCCGGTTTGCAAATCTCACTTTGGTAAAACTTGTGAACTCTTGTAACGCTGGAGCAGGATCGTCTAGCCACCATCCCAAAACGTGTCAACTCGAGAAAACGCTACCTAAATGGGTCGACACATCTATGGAAAGCAAGATTGCCTCACCCCCCCCCCCCCGTCGATAAACTGTGCCAAGAATGAACTGGTGTTATTCTGTTCGCCCTCGAACCATGCACCATGGTCCGATCCTTACACAGAATAGCAGAAGCATTGTTGGCCAAGGATGGCCAAAGAATAATGCAATCGTCCTCCCCTACATACTACCAACTACCAACTACATGACTTCTGAGAGTAACAAGCACTCAACAGGGATAACACTTCCGATGTTAGCCTTTTATCAAGTCTGATCGGACATTTGTTACTGCCATATTGGAAGAGGCATGATTAAGTAGTATCACGACGTTCGCCACAACGCTTTCTGGAAACGAACGGCCATCGAGAGATTCTGGCACGCGACCGCGATGTGGTACCTGAGATCAGCGGGGTAGTCGATTTCTCCGCCACCGTAGACCACCCTATTGAACTCCGCCCGAACTAGGTAATTGAGTGGGTTCAGGTCAGGGGACATACTTCAATATTACATCTCTCAGGTACGAAACGCCCTTCCATTCGAAGTAGGCGGGAGTTTTTCCAAAACCCTTCGATTCCATGTGGTGGCACCCAAACCTGTAGCAGCACAAGGTCTCCAAGAAGGTACGGGCGACCACATGTAGGGAGGATATTCTTCTCGAGTTACTTGATGTAACCGCCAGCGCTCACCTTCAGTCGGGTCTACAAAGAAAATATCGGTCTTCCCATTCCAGGTACCCCGGTCCATACCATCACTCGCGCCTCGGCGACTACGGTGAAGATGATGTCCTAGACCGTAGCGAAGTTGACGAAGCTGCTCGATGTTGGGGGTCATCCAGATTCGAGAGTACTGGTCTCCAGGTAGCTATCCATGGGTGACTCCATACTAGAAGTTTCGCAGCAGTTTGGAGGTGACATGAGTTCCGAAGGTCTTCTCCAGTCAGGTTGCGACTGGAGATGACTTCATATTTTGGTGTACATGAAGGTGGTGGGCGTGAGCCAGCTCCTGTTTATAGAGGAACATCTTGGGTATCCTCCGCCCTGGTACTCGTATCCACGTCCTCTGTCTGGGCTGCAAAAACTTTGCTGATATGCGCTGCAAAAGCTTTGCTGATATGTGACTTGGTCAAATTTTTTTTTGCCACCCCTATACAGTGGTGAGGATGGTTCCACTGCAGAGGCGCTGACTGGTACGAGGCGGCGGTCAGCTGACTGGCGCCTAGACCGGCAAACCCTGAGGATAGCCCAGCCTCTCTGGGCTTTACAGGGTCGAACAGTTGATACCAGTTGTGCGTGGAGAGTAGAAGTTTGACTTGTTTGTTTCGCTCATCTCCAGAAGTTCACTTCTTCTTTCCCCTACTGTTGATTACGCGCCCACGCAGAGCTCTGTTATTGTAGACGCCTACATGGTTCCAGTCATGGGAAATGTAGCAACCTTTGCTGCTACTACTTCGAGGTCTTTTCTGCTGTAGTCCGGCGATGAAAGGTTCTTATCGCTGTCATTTTTTGGTGATTTTGACCGCCTGACTGACTTTTCACCCATGTTCTGTCAACTTGGGCCTTGCTCTTTTTCCCTGGTTCCCACAAAACGATGTATTGGAAGGTTAATAATGTTTAACGTTCTATCCGTTGACATTTAGAAATTCCACACGGATTTGCCCTAACATTTCATTGCCAGTGAGATACTTTCCAGAGATTCGTGCCGATTCCTCCATCCTTTCCAGAGATTCGTGCCGATTCCTCCGGTTCACTGCTCCGGCCCTTTTTTCTGCTTGGATCACTATGGATCACCAGGTGACCATATGAAAAAGAACCAAGTGAACAAAACGATATGAAACCAGTTAGACTTGTCACGACAATGAGTTCCTTCATTTTATTTTGCGCGATGAAAAAAAAGTGTCAGGTCCGTATAGATGACCAATGTGTGTACGATTAACACGCATGATTTGTCATCACATGTGGGCGCTCATTCGGAGTTTAGCAAAACACCTACACATCGAAAAGTCTTGAGTCCATCGTAGCTTCCCATGGAACCTTCAGAGCCACTGTGTGCAATCCTCATCATTACGGACTGTCGGGGCGTCAGTGCGGCTGCGTTTGGCGCGGTACCGAAGTCGTTCTGCACCAATTGTTGAAGCGGGCAAGTGACATTACTGTATTATATCCTTCGTATTACTCGTTTTCTACCACTTTTGTCGGCAATACGTGTTCAACAAAAAGGCGAGCCGGCTTAAACGGGGTGTGGGGGGGGTGGTGCGCCTCTCACTGCTGAGCACGCCCGCGACTAGTCCGTAATGATGAGGAAAGTATGGAAATGTGTGTGGCGTTTTCATCATTGTGTTACGGAATAGATCCGTTCCGATAAAAAGTAGGGAAACAATAGAAAAAAGGGTTCTACCACGAAATCATTTCAGAATGAGTAAATGATCCTGATTGCGCTGTAGGGACCCTTTGAGCGCGAGCTGATTGGATGGGAGAGAGATGAACGGGAACCCTTGGTCGCTGTGCTCATGCCCCTCCCAAAGAAAGGAGGTGAGCTGTCGAGAGAAAAAGGCACAAGGTCTCGAGTCTCCGCCTATCTGCTTTAGCACGGAAAGCGTTTCTATACCTCTCTGTGATGTGAGAAGCAACTTCCAAGAAAGCAGTACCGCACTCTGATAAAACGAGAAATGCAGTGTGAGATAGAGCTGAGTCTTACGTAGCGAATTCAGACTTAAAAGGCACGGCATCTCCGCATCTGAAAATGGTGAGCTGTGTGGCCTAAGTACTAATTATAAGGTGGCATGTGACATGAATTCAAGTAAACGCAGAAATGCCCACTTGTAACACCCCATGTAGTTTGCTGAAGCGCGCCTATACATGCATAATTTGATGAGAGGCGTGGTCGGACGAGTTCTTAACTGTTGGTGTCACCTCTTTCCCCTCATCGTCTCACTCTCACCCTAAGAAATGAGAACTAGTGAGGGAACAATCGCACCATCAAGTAACACCTCTCAACATTGAAAGTTAGAACGTTCCGTGGGAATGTGGCTGAGGCGCGTCCTCGTTGCAAGGGGTCCCTCACGTTTTTTGAGTTAGGAGAATAGTAATCCTCCATATTAGCGGACAGGACTACCGTGTCCAAAAAAGGCATCTGAACATAAAACATGTCGGTTGTCTTTACCGACACGTTTGACCACTCAGCTCAATGGCTATTTGCCATAGCATTGAGCGCTGAGTGGTCAATACTGGCCTGCGTAGCCGTATAAAGGCCACGTAACTTCCGGTAAGCAGAAGATGCGGGTTCAAATCCCGTCCGTGGTCCGACTTTTGCCCCATAACTCAGCATTCTTGTGATACCTATTCTCTATTTAATGGGGACCGCACTTTTGAGAAATCCGTTCGACTCACACCAGTCAGATCATTGATTTAGGTGCCTACCAGTCTCCGGTCCTTCGGCAGTCTCTGCGGTCTCCTTTTCCAGCCTTAGCAATGCGTCCTCGGAAGCGCTCATCTCCAGTGTACGGCGTTGTCACGGTCAAACCGTCCTGCTACCTAATATAGTTAAGGCTGCGTTTATACTTTGCGGCAGCGTAGCGTAGCGCTTCCAGCGTACGCCAGCGGCAGTGCCGGGGAAAGGATAGATATCGATCTAGCTTCACCAGCGTCACCAGCGTACGCTAGCGGCACGCCAGCGCACGCTGGCGTAGCGAGGGCACGGGAAGCATAGCTATCGATCTAGCTTCACCAGCGTTTCTCGAGCGTTTCTCCAGCGGCACCAGCGTTTTGCTAGCGCTTGCAGCGGCAGGGAGTAGAGACTATGTGGCCGTGAGAGACGCGGAATCGACGTGTATTGTAGAGACTATGTGGCCGGCAGAGACGCGGAATCGATGTGTATAGTAGAGACTATGTGGCCGTCAGAGACGCGGAAGCGTACGAGCGATGTGTATTGTAGAGACTAAGGGCGAGTGAGAGACGCGCAATCGATGTGTTTTGTACCCTCCAGCTCTCCCATAGTCTCTACTCCCTGCCGCTGCAAACGCTAGCAAAACGCTGGTGAAACGCTGGAGAAAGCTGGCGTACGCTAGCGTGCCGCTAGCGTACGCTAGCGTGACGCTGGTGGCGCTGAGAACGCTAGATCGATATGCATCCTCTCCCGCCACTTGCCGGCTGCGTATACGCTGGAAGCGCTACGCTGCCGGCAAGTTAAATCGCAGGCCTAACTGATGACGACAAGTTAGCTGTCTCAAACGAAGGGGATATCAGCATCACAAGGTCGATTCCTAAATGGATAATCCTCACACAATTCGCACCTTAGCTAGTGGTTGGTCCTGATATTCATACTCCTTATCCGTGAGACAAAGTAGGCGTGGCACTTGAACATGGTTCTTCATGAAATATTTCAGCCTGGACGACTGTCATCTGTTTCTTGTTGGACAGAGCCATGATACAATTGTGGGCCAAGATGAGAAATATTCGCATCTCAGAAGCACAGCCACCTTCAGTTCAGTTGAGCACGTAGCCACGCCTAACCCGATTCGCATGGATTTTCGAGTATAGATC